GTTAATTATATATTTGTATTATGATGTTCATTCCAACAAGTGGTCTGCCACTGCACACAGTTTTTAACAATCCTTCACTGCCCATAAGGTTGTATTAATGATTGTCATTCTCCCGATATTATATTCGCCATTCCATCTTTTGATATGTTGCTCATCAAACACATTTGATTGATAAGTGCTAAATGAATGGCCCAGAATACACCACCCATGGCTATGCTAGATAAACTTTGATAACATATGCAAGCAACATGGACTGACATACCCCAAGCATAGATGCACAGTCTCTACTTTTAATGCTGATGCATGTCAAAATAGCTAATGGCATAACCCACTTATTTCCTGATGTCCTGCAAGAAAATTGGTATTTTCTGTAATTTTTATTAATGCACCATTATAACCCTTATATTATTTATCCAGTATAGGGCTTTCATATCTCTAGTCCTCCATATAGTCTTTCATATCTCTAGTGCTGTATCTTGAATGGTGAGCAGAATAATTAACCTACAATCTGCAAATATTTGCTGACTACTAAAACTCCCATTCTGGAAATTTTCTGGATTTGTAGGAAGTTATATGTATTATGATAGTGAGGCTCTTTGTCAATGAAATGATTCTCCTAAATTAAAAACACAAACTTGCAGAGTTATAAAATTTTTCATGCTGGAGACATGAATAATGTGCAATGTCCTCACTGGGATTTGAACTCAGGACCTCCTGAATATGCATTGAGCGTGCTTCCAGTTACACCATGAAGGCATGCAGAAATGAGGGAGAAAATACCTTATAAACTTAATAAATTTATTATAAAAAATGTCTCTTTGAAGATCTCAGCAGTTTTTAAATTACCCACTAACTATTTTACTTTTTTCTTCATTTTTTTCTTTCTACTTAAAGAAATTCCCAACATTCTCAGTCGCATAAAACTTCTTAGCTGGCTCCCATTATATTATTTTTTCAGTATAATTAAAAGATTAAATGCAAAATACACAAATGTAAAAATTTCTATTTACATTTTACAAGATTTTTCTTCCTCATTTTCCTTCTCCTTAAAATGGATCTTAATTCCCTTTCCCTTTAAATTACACAATTTATTTGATCAGAAATATTTCTAAAAGGGCATCCTGGGAAAGCAAAAATTTATGTATAAAACATATCTAAAGTAAAAACAAATGATAAACTTCAACTTTAATTTCAACTATGATGAGTATGAAAGTGGAAACATAGTTAACATGAAAATATTTTAAAATGATTTGTAGTAGCAATTAATTTCTGCTTTCAGGTAATCTTTATAAATTTGATGATGAGAAAAATCTGTGCCATACAATATGACATTACTTCTGACAGGAAAAAATGAACAAAATTTATGACTTGTAGTAAAAGAGACATAAAATTTCACATTTAGTTAACTTGGCTCATCATTAAAAGATTTAAAATTTCAAAGTAAAAAACTGCAATATAATGATCTTATATAATTTTTTTAACTAAATGTATTTTATGAGCAAAAAATAAGTAGCAGATTCAAATAAATAGAAACAAGAACTAACAGTTACATATTTAAGGGTCTACAGCAGTGGTTCTCAACCTATTTTGCCTCATGCACCTCATGCTAGAAGATAATTTTCTCAAAACTTGAAAAATACATACGTACCTTTATTTACATTTATATTAATTTTTTAAGTGTTTCATAAATCAAAACAACAAAAAGCACAGAAAATGTTGATAAATATCAAAACTTGAATAGAACTAGTTTTTTATACTCATAAATTAAAACACTAATGCAAAATAAAAGGCGGCTGCACCCCTTCCCCAGTTAAAAATCTATGGTCTATAGTTATATAAAACTCTTCAGAGATGAAATTTTATTACACATTTTCTTAATTATTAAAATTCTTAGAATTTATGCTTTAAATGTTTTCACAAAATTTTCAAAATATATACAGTTATAGAGACTGAAATATACAACTCAATAAAAGAATGTTAAAAGTATAAAGTTTTATTTCATATAAAGAAACTTTGAAGGAAAAATCACTGAAAATTCAACACTTCAAATAAATTTTCATAACTTGCTTAAAACATATCAAAATGAAATTTTGTATGATTAACATTTTGAGTTTTTCTACAGCTGAAAATGTGGATGAAAATCATACAATGAGGGGAGATGGTAAATTATAGTGCTCTAATTATTGTACTGATTATTAATTATGGAAAATTATCATAGTAATCATCATGTTCAGCTGGTAATTTTTTTTACAACCTTAAGACTTGTATTTTACTATAGATAGTAACACAAGAACAAATACTCTTTCATATTTCAACATCTTTAAGATTCTGTTTTGAAAGTTTTGACAAAATCTTCTCTAGTGATGTCAGATGATTCATACACTCAGTTGTTTATTAGCTTGATTTCTGAATATCAAAATGGAACTAACAAAGACAAAATGGATGGAAAAAAATTATCATAATTCTTCCTTTGCAATTAATCATGTGAAATGCTCCTTGATTTTCTTTTGCTTTTTTTTTATGGTTACTATGACCTCTTTTATCCAAATGATATAAAAACAACTAACTTTGGTTAATTAAAGCAAAATCCTTTTTGCACTTCATGAAAAAATGCCATTTTAAGAAATAATGCTTTTATATTTTCTGTCTGATCTGAATTTTGTACATAATTATTTAAAGCCCTTAATAGTATATGCTTCCTCTTTTGCTTCAAGATTTTCTATTTAAAAAAGGTACAAATCTTTTATACTACTGTCATGGCTGCTTTAAGTGAAATTAATCAACATTCTTAGAAGAAGCTATTTTGAAGCTGTATGTTTTGAATACTTTTTGGCTAGATCAAAATCTGATGGTATGACTACTGCAGTCATATAATTAAACTTAGATGATTCATCGGTTCAGGCGCAAAGCATTCGTAATTATCGGGTACCCGTATGGAGTCGCTAGCCTGGTATAACAGCGTTGAAGATTTTCTAATACCTATGAATTTCTAATACATATCAGTAGGTAAAAGATGAGTAAGATGATGACAGCAATTAAGTGACATATCATAAGTTCCAGGGCAGAATGAAACTCTCCTCATAATTTCATCAATTAAAGATGACATAGAACTGAGAGACTATAAGCTACTCCTAACTGCCACCAGTCAAGTCTGGATAGGAAAATCTGGGAGCATTCGTGAAAAGATGGGTGTGCGATTAGTCAGTGAAAGCAAAGCAGAGTTTAAAGAAATGCCAATGATTGCAAAAAATAGTTTCACGCAATTAATAAGCTCATTTATAGAGTAGTAAATAATATTAGCATATACATAACATTATAGAAACAAGGCAAAATTAAAAGAAAAAGCTACGAGATGGAGGTGGGTATAATACACAGGTTACAAGGTGTTATTGAGATATAACAGCCTTTGGGCATTTTCTGTTTTCAGGAGTACAATAATCGTAATTTAGTATTGGAATAGTGGCATTATTTACATCTGGGTTTTTCCGAAAAAAGGTATCAGCCATAACTTATTGTCAATACTTCCAGGAGCATAGGGAAGGCTCTAGTGCATAGATGTGTTTTTGTAATGCATGTATGACCGAGCTACGAGATGCATTTTGTGTAAGAATTGCAGTATCATCTGGGTACATAGCTAAGGTGGTGTGAGGTGTATGTGGGATGTTGTTCCTGTAAGTGTTGAATAGGTCCCCAAAAGGGACCCAATGGGATTATGGGATTTCTTATCCCTGGGGACCCTTGTGAGACCCCAGCCTGTATAGGTTGAAAGAAGAGATAATGTGGTTGACACGAACGATAAAGTGTCTATCTATCAGATAGGAGATAATGATGTTAGTAATGTAACCTCGGAAGCACAAGGTGATTAATTTATGTATGAGGCCCTCAAGCCATACTCGATGACTCTATATAAACATGAGTAGCTTTTGATCACTCTTCCAGCAACCATGCATTTTCTTTTCATGGATCTGACAAGGACTGTAATATATATATACATATTTTGCACTAGACTAACTTCAACATAACATTCTCTATCTTTCAGTCTATTAAACAGCAGGTTCAAGAAGTAAAGTACATATACCTAACAAATATATTTAATAAACATTACTGGAAATTTTAAATGCAATTTTTTTCTTTAAAAAACTACGCTTCCTGCCATTTTCACCTCAGTATTAGAAAAATTAATATTTCTTAAAGATAACCAAATCCTGAAAGAACATTAAATATCAACGAATGTAATTAATTAGCCAGCATAACGTTGAAATTTTTTAATATTATTGATAGGGAAGAATAATTATTATTCCACTACAGCAGAAAATTCCTTACATCTATTTTATATCAAAATTACGTACATTGCACAATTATTCAAAAACTTGTTACTTGTGAGACAATACAGCAGACACCCAATGATATGATTATTTTATAATATGTTAACAGAATGCTATTTAATCATTAAGTTTAATTATGACCTTATGTAGAGATTTTATATAAATCATAAAATTTGATCTAACTGGTGCAACCTCATAAAGATTATTTTGCATTGGAGAAACTATATAACCATGTAAGTAAAGACAAGGTACAAATCTATAATTAAATATCCATTTCTAAAAAGGGATTTTATTTTATATCTACCTATATTAGTGACATTTGGTAATGAAAATATCTATAGTTTTACTTAGCTAGTATAAGTACAAAGGATTACTAAAACAGAACCCTATTACTAAAAATTTTCAGCAATTCGAAAAGAGGTTGTGATCTTAATGTTGCACACCACTGCTGTAGTACCTGCTTACATAAGTACTAGTATACTGCAAACCTATGCAATTATTTTTTCCTATTTGCGGAAACATGCCAAGAAAAGAATGATTGAAAAAAAAAAAAAAAAAGAAAAATTAAACAAATGTTAATCACATTCAGCCAAAAAAGGAATGCAACATAAAAAAAATCCATAAGAACAAAAAGAATATTTATTCAATATAACTATAATGCAAAATGAAACTCACTTTTATATCTCCCTTTGTGTGAATGGTCAGTGGCTGTGGATTAACAATTTCAACATTTGAAATTTTATGCTCAGCTTGAAGCATTCCAAATGGAGTTTTAGGAATATTTTGAGAAATAAGTCTCTGCAAATATAAGATCATATTAAAGAATCAATGCACAAGAATTAGTATGAGGTACCTCCAGAAAGTAAGTTTCCCAATGTTTTCTGCTTTAAAGTAAATGTAATTAGCCGTGTCAATTGCATATGCATAACAGATCTATGACGTATCAATCATATGCCAGCCAGACAGGTCACGCTTCGTGCCAGTAGCGTGGTAGCAACGGTCCGAAATGAAAGCTCTTATTGCTTCTCTCGCCGCCTGCGAGGTTTGGTCGGTGATAACATTCTTGAATGCACAAAGCATTGCGTTAATTGAAATTCATCGTCAGCTCTGTAAGGTCTATGGGCTGAACATCATAAGTAAGCAGATGGTGCGTTGTTGGTATAGGCAGTTTTCGGAAGGTTGTCAAAGTTTCCATGATGAAGAGCGCAGTGGGCGACCGTTCCTCATCAATGATGATCTTGTTGAGCTTGTGCAGCAGCACATGATGGAGAACCGTCGCTTCATGATTACGGAGCTGAGCAGCCATTTTCGGCAGATATCGTGATCCTTGTTGCATCAGATTGTCACTAAGCACCTGCTGTTCAAAACATTGAGTGCCAAACACAAAATTGAACGCTTAGGAGCAGCACTGACATTTCTGCAATGGTATCACGATGACTGCGACGAGTTCCTCGACAGGATCGTCACGGGTGATGAAACTTGGATGTCACACTTCACCACGGAAACCAAGCAGCAGTCAATGCATTGGCGGCATAGTGGATCTCTGGTCAGGACAAAATTCAAACAGATGCTGTCGGTAAGGAAAGTGATGTGCACGGTGTTCTGGGATAGGAAAGGCATTCTGCTCATTGAGTTCCTTCCACGTGGTGAAAAAGTAAATGCTGACCGTTACTGTGAAACACTACGGAAATTGCAACGTGCCATTCAAAACAAGAGGCATGGAATGCTTACTGCAGATGTTGCACTCCTCCATGACAATGCTTCTCCACATACTGCTCGATGCACAGCAGCTGTTTTGATGGAATTTAGATGGGAGATGTTTGATCATCCACCTTACAGCCCTGATTTTGCTCCCAGTTTTTTTATGTTTTCTTGCACCTCAAGAAATTCCTGTCTTCCGGTAAACGTTTTGACAACGACAAAGAGCTGAAGACATCTGTCACATGCTGATTCCATTCACAGCCGGCAGAGTTCTACAACAGAGGGATACAAAAGTTGATACCACGATACGACAAACGCCTCAATTCTGGCGTTGGCTATGTTGAAAAATAGCTGAAACATTGCTGTACTTGTTGCCAATATATATGTTCCTGAAAGTGTGAGTTCCTTTTTTTTTTAAATAGGGAAACTTACTTTCTGGATGCCCTACGTAATATATTTATAATTAATAAGAAATATAATATGAGTCAAAGCATCAACAGAATATTCAAATATTGTGTCATAATTTACAATAGTGATGTATGCATTTAAAGAGCTTCAATATACTATAGTAGAACATATTACAACAATACTTTGTTTGATAAAGAATACAAACATGAAACTTTCAATAATTGTCTAGTTTTCATATGATGATTAATTCAATAATTTTGATGAAAATATAGTTCTTAATATTAGAAAAGTTATCAATTAATGCACTATTACTAAATACAGATTGTACTAAAAAACCATTAAATCAAAAATAAAATTAAAAAAAAAAAAAAAAAAAAAAAAAAAAAACCTTATTTGTAAACCACACGACTTCCTTGTATGGAATATTAAATTACATGCATTTTTCCCTGCATTTCTTTTAAATGTATTTGCTCAAATTTCATTACAGATATATTTCTAATTTAATTAATTCAGTTCTCACTTCGCGGCAAGGCAAAAATACATAAAAGTGCAAAATATCTTCATTAAAAATTGAAAGATACAGAAAAACATAAAACACCAAATACAGTTAAAACAATTTTTACAATTAGAATTACAGTTTTTATGGAAAAACAAGCAATTTGGCCAGCAGGCAAGAAGGCAGATTTTTCTGGTGCACAAAACTAAAAGTTTGTTTTGGTCCTACTCGTCAAAGGACACTGAAGGTGCAGAAAGACTTACTTATTATTCTACTAAGTTTCAAATGTAAACAAATATGGTTGCTGTGGTAAAAAAAAATAGGTTTAGCCACACTTAAACAACTTTTAAATCGTTGATAATTCTACAACTATTGCATGCAGGTTAACTAAAAGTTAAAAACCTTAACTGGAAGATAAGAAAAACATAATTTAAACATTTTAAGGTAAAAAATACACAATTTACCAACGTATAAGAATAAAAAATAATGAGCTCATGAAGCCGAGTAACAAAGTGGGTATGTATATAATATACTTTCACAAATGAAAACTTTTCATAATCAGAAAAAATACATGACCTTGAGCATTTAAATGAGTAAAACGCTTCCCGTTATAGGTATATCATGCAAGTAAGAGAACACGAATGACACAAGCATTAATAAATGATTGGTTTGAAAATTATTTCATACCCGAGGCTTGGCAGAATTTGGTTGGTTTACTTGATAATGCAAAAACTGTCCTAATTGTAGACAACTGTTCAACTCATACTTCACTTAAAGTTTTAGTGAAAGATACTGTATCTGTATTACCTCAGAGGCAAAATAACATAAAGAAGCAAAAAGAGTTATATGGAAAACTCATCCCATATTTGATTTAAAACAAAAAGTACCTGATCTATCATTATAGGAAGAAATCACGTTGAAATAAAATATGCAAAATACAAGTCAATAAATGCATACCTTTGTAGAATCTAGAGTTTCTAATTCTGTGTCAGGTTCATCAGTCAAAGTAAGTAACTTCTGAAAATAAAGAAAAAAGAGTATTTATTTCATATTTACACAAGAAATATGAACTATCACAGGATTGACAAAATATGTAATATAAAATGCAAAATTAAGTTATTTTCAAGTAAAGTTTATTTAAATATTTTCTCCAACAAAAATACATAACTTCAGCACAATAATTTTTTAAAATATATTATTTAATGCATTCTTTCAGTAATATATAAATTACCTGTTTCTTAGGCTTTCCTCTAACTAGAAAATATGCAATTACACAATCCTTATGTAAAATATAAAAAATAACTTCAAAGTAGAACATACAACTGATGAATTAGAGAGTTGATTGGATCTAACATTAGTTACCTGTTCTTGATTGAAAAAATAGAGTTGAGATTTTTCATAAAAACTGGCTGAGCCTCTTGATGCACAGCTTGTATTTTTGGATACAAACACAGCAGATATAACAGGTGTTTTACTTGCATTTGACAATGAATATACAGGAAAAGGGTCATTAGGCCTGAACAGAATTACTAGAAAACAAAAAGCAATAATAATGAGAATAAAATATCTATAATCAATTCATTAAAAACTTGCAAAAAGAAGTCTAAAAATTAGAAGAAAAACAAAAGTTTTACACTCTGAACTCAAATATGAATAAAGAATCCTCATTTAATTTTTTAATTACTTAAACAAAACTTACAGTTTTGATTCTGGCAGAAAGCTGCTATAACATCAGACGCTCTGTCACCTACTATAATTTGTACTTCAGTGTGCACAATCCAAGTTACTAAAGAGGAGGGAAGAACATACATGTTCATGCAAAGTTACGAGCTTGAAAGTAATGTAAAATTTAAATAGGTTTTGAAAAGAAACGAATTTACATTTCAAATTCAGTACAATTATAATTCAGAATGTGAATTCAAATTTGTTTTGTGAGATAAATCTAGCTTATGCTAGTTATTATACAGAAAAAATTGTCACAGAGAGAAACAAATCACTCACTTCATAATTATAAATTTTCTATTTATGTGTACGCGGCAGCGAAACAAAAGAATGAACAGAATTTGATGTTAACCAAGATTATATTTATATGTAAAACTAATGATAAAATAACAAGTGATGAGCAGATTAAAACATAGATATACAAGATTATTTAAATAAAAACATATTACTATGAAATAGATTATTAATAGTGACATTAAAATTTGATAGCAGCTGATTGTTCATATACCGCAGATTTTATAAAGTTAACTGCATATGAAATACTGAAATTGTGATTGTGAGAAAAGGTATTTTGAAGTAATTGCAAAAGCAAAATATATAAAACAAGGGAAAACATAAGCTTTTTGAAAGCAATCAAAATAATTCCAATTCTGATGCAGTTGAAGAGAGTGTTTAGCAAATTTTGCTTGATACAAAAGAAAATGAGTCCACAGAATGATTAACACAATTGAAATTTTGTGATTATGATAAATATTGGGCTCCCATCAAGAACTGAATACTTCTGAAATGATTGATAAAATTATAGAAAAATGGAAAAATTGAGGGTTCTGTTGCCTATAATTTAACCTATTCATTAATGATTTTAATAGCAAAATTAGAACTCAAATGATAAACTCAACTCTAGGCTCACTACACTGGAGAAATAAGAACTTCCATAATGCATGGATAATTATAAAGACCAAAGTTTTTGCATGCTGATTTAACATTAAAAATATCAAAATTTTTATTTATTATGTAAAATTTACAGCCATATAAATTTAAGTAAATTTTTGAATCTTTCTTAGTTACCAATTTTTTTACAACTATTACGATTAATACTTTTAAATTAAACAAGTATAAAATAATGATATTTATTTTAAAACAAATCAAAAGATTATCAAAAGGTAAATTAATAATAAACAATCAATAATAGTAAACAATAAATTAACAATAATAAACTGTAATAATAAACAGATCACTGCTTATTTACATATTTACTTGTTGCAAAATAAAATTGAATTTAAATTTCTTAGCTGCCAAATTTGAGATATGAAAAACTAGGAGGTTCTCCTGCCCAAAACCAAGTTTCTGGGAGTATTTGTGCTGTGCTGCAGCACCATTTTGAAAGAACTCGACATTGACTTAAATTAAATTTATAATGCATAACTCAGGTTACCCAATATTTTACAACATGATTCTGATGTAAAATATATTACTATTTAATAAAGTATTCAAATGTTTACGCTCATTGGCTAATTTCATTCCATAATTTTTCTACACTTTTATGCTGAGAAATTCCTTAGTATGAAAATGTAGTTTTAATTTATCAAAATACTTTGATAAATTAAAGAGGAAACACTATAAAAATAAAATGTTAATACCCTAACATAGATACATTTAGCAATGTACTATATATTAATGTAAAACAAAATTAAAGACAAATATTAACTGATTAAACATTTCTTGAATCTTCATACAAAGTTTCAGAAATGTATAGATAGTTACGACAATTTAAACAAATAAAATTTAATAAGATAAATTAACCTGAAAATAACTAAGGGTGAGGAATAAAATTTGCATAATTTAAGTTTAATTAATTCAGTAGATTTCTTTTATTGCTGAAAAACATGTAAAGTAAGTAAACTAAAAGTAAGGCTAAAAATTAAAAGCTGGTGGAATTGGCAGCTATAAAATATACATACAAAATTAAGAACAAGTTTAAGAATTTTCAGTGAATACATAGTCCAATTTCCTTTATTTAGAAATGAAAAATTTTGAGAAAACAAAAATACTGTTTATATTGACACAAATATGCTTTGATTTCTCATTTTAATAATGTGTTTCAAAACATTAGTTTTCTCAGAATTGAGCCTTATTTTAACAGAACACATTATGTAATGATGATACTGTATATATAAATGCTAAATAACAGCTAGATTTGAGACAAAGATTTACTGACATTTTGCACTTTTCTGATGATAATTAATTTTTATTACAAATACATTTAAACTAATAAGATTCATATCCCTCTACTACCCAAAAAAGTAATGTATACTTACTTGATAAAGACAGAACATCCCAAACTGTTATTGAGGTGCCATCATGACAGACTAAAAGATGACAGTAAGATTTTCTTCCAAAATGTGTCTGTCTATATAATTTTTAAAATATACTTTGAATAAACTTTGTAAACAAAAGAAAATAATATGCAGTTTCATTTTGAGGAAAGGATGAGAATAATAAAAGCAAATAAGACTCAAAATATATTGAAAAAAATGAATAAAAATACAAACCCATGTTTATGAATTTATTGCCTTTATAAATGCATAAAAAATATTTTTTCTTTTAACTAAATTTTTTCAAAGGTTTAGACAGTAAAATGACAGTAAGAGAATATAATTAACTTTCCATAATTTTGAAATAGAACTTTAAATGACTTATATATTCAAAGCCATCACTTATCACTGAAATGAATCAGTTAAAACAAAGTGCATAAATATAAATTTAACTTACACAATATTTCTTTTTGATTTATCATTACAAAGTACCGCCTTGAGTGCTGTGCTATCTACAGTCCACAGAGTGGCTGCTTTACCAAATGCAACAGCAAGTAATGAGCCTTCTTCAGAAAAACAAGCATCACCAGCAGGCAAATCTCGATAGCAGCCCATAGATGTGCAGCTCCAAGTTTGCTTTTGATCTGAAAAATTAAAAAAAAAAAGTTTAACTTTAGAAATAACGATGCAAGTTGTAAACTGAATCTGAAATAAAAATGACACTCTTATTGTCAAATAAAAAATTCTTGTTACATTAAGAATTTAGAAAAATATGAAGGCAATAATTCTTATATTTTCTAAGTCAACAGTCTAATCTTATTTTTATATACTTTCTTAAACTAACAAATGAATATAACTACTACAGCATTTTATTTAAACTAATGATTATACATTAAAATTGCAGCACCAGAAAGGATTCATCGAACTCGCACATACACAATTCAAAAAGCAACATTCGTGCAAGTTATGTACACCAGTAATGCTATTGAATGCGACAGCAGAAAGGTGACAAGACAGCTACCGTTAAAAACTAGAACTGTATTTAAGGAATTCCATATATTGTTGTCATTTTTGTGCACAGTTATGACACGTGGAAGAACACGATAGATATGTCAGTAGGTTATCAATTTTGATTATGTTATCATTGTAGCATACTGATAGCCTTCTAATAAATATGTTTGTGTTGGATGGAATACCGCCACAATGACGTAAATATAGAAATTATGGGTAAAAAATGACAGAACTCACTAACATGAGGGATGTTAACAAAGCTGTCATAACACCAAATGAAAGGATAGACACCTTGCAAACTGCAGAGTTATACTATAAACCCTACCTCAAGAATTATGTGGTGTTGCATAACAACCAGTCTTTGCATATTTGGTTCGATATTATTATCAGCATTAGAGACCTTTTGCAAAATTCCTATTCCTTCAGCTATATCATACATCTGGATTTACAATGGTGAGTACAAAATAATTAATGAAAGGACAAATGGTACTGATTTTACTTTTATCTGCGATACAATTATCTGGCAGTACTTTACAGATAGACAGACAGAACTATGTATTATGAATAGCCATACTGGTCTGCAACTTGGCATTATACTATGCACTACCACTTGATTCCAGCCCTAATGTGCTTAGTATGCATTCCAAATACATCAGATAATTATTGTTATATGAATAAGGTTTTGAAAATGTGGAAAACGTTCTAGAGGTTCCTGCATCATCTGTATATGATTAATAAAAAGTTTCAGTTCAGAGAGAGTGAAGAGATATGATCATGGGGAGATGGGATGAAAGAAAGTCAAACAAGGTATAATGCAACCCCAAAAATTATGTAAATATATTGTACGTCTGATTCATAAAAGTAGTACAGTACAAAGTCCAAAATCCGGATGTCCATTATCTGGAATGATCTAAAATACAGACCTCAAAACCACTACCAACATTTTTCTGGTAGGTTTACAAATGCGCATTTGATTCCCCTCCCCTCCGCGCATATTAAACATCTGGAGAGTCCCGATTCTTGATTTCACTTTGAAACTAAATTAAATACTTTGATAATGAAAAAACAATCATTTTAGCATAAATTTGTATGATCAGTAATTTGGCTCCATTGCTGCGTATCTGCTTGGCACCCACCTCTCACAATCCCAAACATTCCACATAGATACATCGTTGATCTGACACCAACCTGGGGAATCATTATTTTTATTATACTTTCCTTTCATCACTGCATGTTTATCAAAACATGAAAACTTGAGTAATGACTCTGTAGCGATTACTAAACATTTTTTTTTGTTAGTAATTGAATAATAAGTGAATATGGTAACCTTTTATGTTGACATTACGCATGATGATAATTACAGATTTAGTCAAATGCGCTAAAAGTTGACAAGGAAAAATTTCTTTCCATGTGCTAAAAAAAGATTTTGTTGATGATACTCTACCCAAAGATTACATTAAGGGTTATTTGAATTAAGAATAACTGATTTGTTATTCACATAAACCCAGAACCAGCACCAGGGCTCGTATGGCCGTGCCGAGTCGCAGAATTTAGGACCTCAGAGACTGCATCAGGCAGTAAGATATCTAGCGTCGGCCTTCAATAAGGCTTAAGTATATGTGGGAATTTATTTATTCAGAACTTTAATAAGCCTTAAGCACGTGCAAGAAATAGACAAAAGTATAATAAATAACTAATATAATTCAGGCTTAATTGTCTCAGTGCGCGATAGAAGCAAGATAAAATTTAATGGAACAACTTGTCATTAGTCGCCAAGCTCATGATGCATAGCCAAATATGTATAATGAAGGATAGCTAAATTTGATGACGCTAATTTTAAAGGTTTTCAGATATCGCAAAACAAAGTTGAAATTTTTAAATTAACGGATTATGTAAAGAAATTGGGAGAAGCAGTTATAAATGAAGATGATATAAAAGAAGTTTTTCATTGTGATGACGCTTCTCAATCATCAATCAATTAATGAATGGCGAAATCTATAGTATAGTTTTAGATCCAGAAAATACCACTACCGATAGTGAAGAAAGTGACAGAGAAGTTACTGAAAACGAGAAAATTTCGATTGACAAGTTAGTTGGAATTCTCGAAACACCAGTTACAAAACTTCAACGATGTAACTAAACAAGAGATTATGTCTGTCTACAGAATTAAAGAGAAAGTATTAGCACAAAAAAATGAAGCAACTTTAACAACTTACATTGAGAGAAATGTTTAATAAGGTAAACAGACACTTTTTTTTTTTTTTTTTTTAAACTTTGATACCCTTTAGATCCTAAATACTTCATTATTTCATAAATCGCAATTTCATATTTTTAATTTTAGAATTTCTACATGCCATCTTACTAGATTTAAATTGATGATCTAATATAAAAAAAAATCCCAAATCCGGAATCGCCGAAGTCCTGACGAGTCCGGATTTCGGACTTTGTACTGTATTAGAAGAAAAATAAATGCATTTACAGGAATTCAGCATGACATCAAGAACCATTGAGTAACAAGTGTAATAGAGTCAATAAGTTGTTCTAATATGTGTTTTTAGTGCATTGGCCAAGAAATAAAATTTACGAACTTAACTGTTGTTAAAACACTGATCACCATAAGACAGGGTAATGGATGGATTAATTTTGCCAACTTGAAACAAGGTGAATGCTACAATTTCTAGTAGCATGCAATTTACCTTTTGTAATTAAAATTAGTCTCGAAGAAATAGCTGAACAAAATAAGAAAATTTAGAGGTTCAGTTAGAAACACCATCCCAAAATTAAGAAAATTTATAGGTCCAGTTCAAAACACTATCACAAAATTAAGAAAATTAAAGAGAAATTACAAAATAAAAATCCAAAGGTAGAACTGTTGCAAGACTTACTTGTGGTGTTAATCGAGAGAGAAGTTAATTTATTAAATGATGCTGAAGTTATTACTGCACAAAGCACTGTGCAGAAATTAGAAACAGAAGTAGAACTTTCCTCCAATTACAGCGAAGCTATTATTAGATGTAAATTGAAACAAAAGATACATTCAAAATGTCATTAAAAGCAAAACGATTCCACAAGTTTCAGAAATCAAAACTAATTATAATACTAAATTACCTCAAATTACTTTAGAAACCTTCAATAGTGATTTATGTAAATTTAGCAAATTCTGAGCTCCGTATTAAGCGGCCATTCATGAAAACTAATGAAAAGCGTGCCTCAAGATGTCAAGAAATTTAACTATTTAAGATTGCTACTCACTGATTCAGCTACAAAAGCTATAAACAGATTGCTATTAGACTGCTATTAACAGGAGAAAACTAACAAATAAATAAATAAAAATAAAATTAAAAAAATAAAAAACCATGAAATTTTAACTGACCTATTTAGAAAGAAAGGAATATTAGTTACGGCACATATGAACATTCTCCTATCTTTGGAGCCTGTACGTTGTTCAAGTGATGAATCCAGTTTGAGAAATAATGTGATGAAACAACAGTTCAAACCAGAAGCTTAGAAATATTAATTCTTATGGCAATCTACTTACTGCTTAATTTATACAAGTGAATATCACAAGATTTAGTATTACAGTTTAGTAGAGAATAAAATTCAACAAGTGGTCAAATGAAGCAGATTTATTGTCATTTGTAAAGAAAGTAGTACCACGTAAAAAGTCCTTAACTCTTGTTCCAAATTTCACCCCTCCAAAGAAATGTGAATTAAGTCTTGCAGAGAAACACAAGGTGTTATATGACCAATTCAGGTGCAAGCACTATTAAATAAAGATCATACACACACACACACACACACACATACCAAAAAAAAAAAAAAAAGTTAAGGTGAAATGGGTTCAATGTAATATTTACAATCCTCAGTCGCATTTAGACAGCTGATGCGACTCATCAAACATGCAGGACAATAAAACTAACAAAAATGTGCTGAACACATGCAGAGCTAAAGAAATAAACATTAGCTCCCTGTGTAGAGAAATATGATGTTATACAGCAATAGGAGCATCCGCACCTGAAGTAAAAGTTAATTAGATGTTAGATGCTAGACGGGAATGGCATATTAAGCCATATCCTTTGATTTGTAGAATTTTCATATGCAGATTTATTAACTGATTAACTCTATATAGTGTACAAATAAATATTTAAATTAACCTTGCTTTGAGTCAATCATAGATATGATGTAATACGGTGATAGGAGAGCCCTCACCTGAAGTAAATGTTAATTAGGTGTTAGATGCGGGGCAGGAATGGCGTATTAAGCCATATCCTTAGATTTGTAGAATTTTCATAATGCAGATTTATTAACTGTATATAGTGTACAAATAAATATTTAACTTAACATTGCTTTGAGTCAATCATAGATATAGCTGTAGAAAGATTTTAGATACGGTAGAGATTTCGACTTAGAATTAGCCTTTCGCGTCACCCTCTGGCTCAAAATGTTGAGTAAACAAATTCCTAACAATCTGATTTATTATAAAACTTTGAGAGCCCAACAGATAACTCCACATTTAGTATTAGATTTTTGTGAAATTCTGCATCTGAATAATCTTATGTGTGTCAGCACATTTTTGCATTCTTCAAATCCATCAAATTTAAAAGAGACTTGGGAGGGAAAAAAAAAAAAAAGA